AATATCTTGTTTGGGGACTCAGGAGGAAGCAATAGGTGTTCCTCTTCAAGTTCCTGATGCATTTTTTTAACTGGTTTGAAGCATTCCTGGCTCCACACCGATCATTTGGGAGAGCACAAATGATCAGTTTAGGCAGCATTTTGCCTACCGTGAGAACTGAGAATATAGCCTCAGATACAATATAAAATCCGACCAATACAATGTCATCAGAGTCATAAGGGTCATAGCGATGATAAAGTGAGACTACTTCTGAGCTACAGGTGACATTAAAAACATTTTGCTACCAGTATATTATAAGCACTGGTTAGTCAGAATGTAAATGTTAGAGTGGGATCCTGGGGAACTTCTGGTAGCCGTCAGCACCCCATTCTTGCTGGGTTATGAGAGTTCTCGGAGGAGACAAGGAAAGAGGGCCAAGTGGAATTGCACTGATAGAGTAGAGGCAATGACCATTTATCAAATGATAAAGACATATTTTGATATATTAGCAAGCTACACGGTTCTTCTTGTATACAGAAGCTGAATATAAGCTCTGTCTTTGGCTTATGCTTTGCTAAGCCAGTGGTTCTCAAAGTGTGGCCTAAAGACACCCAAAGCTGTCAAAGACATGTCCAGGTAAAGTTAGATTTTCCTTATATGTATAAAACAAGAGGGTGTATAGCAACAGATTGAATGCCAAAGAGATGCACAAATCTGGTCATCTTTTACTGAGCCAGATATTAAAGTACTCTGCAAAAATGTAAAATAATTCTACTTTTCTCAAAAAAAGTGTCTTTGCTTTGAAAAATATATTTATTATAAAAATATACTTTTAAGGATGTAATGGACTTTTGTTATTACTTATTTTGTTACAAATAATAATTTTTAAGAGTATAATTGGATCAATAGACCAAGGAGTTTAGGAACTGCTGCTCAGTTGGGCTTGGTGGCTCAGCCTGTAATCCCACGCCTCTGGGAGGCTGAGGTGAGTGGATTGCCTGAGCCCGCGGGTTCGAGACCCGCCTGGGCAGCGAGACCTCATCTCTACAATAAATCCCAAAAAATCAGCCGGGCGTGGTAGCGCGTGCCTGTAATTCCAGCTACTCAGAAGGCTGAGGCGGAATGATCGCCGGAGCCCAGCAGTCGAGGCTGCGGTGGCCGGGAGCGGCCACTGCACTCCAGTCTGGGCGACAGAGTGAGACTCCAACTCAAAAAAAAAAAAAAAAGAACTGCTGCTCAAAGAAATAAAACAATTAGTACTGGAGAACTCCAGGGTAGAGGGGCCTGACAGTGCTAGTCTCTTGATCGGTTTACTCTGAGTTCCAGTTGTCTCTTGAAAGATTAGTTTGTGACTTTAAAACCCCTGTGCTTTTCACTATGCAACAATAAGGCCACTGGCATATATTCATCTTTCAAAACTTTACTAATTTACACTAATTTATGTGTATAATGTTTTCAGTATTAGATTTTTTTCACAAAGAAATGTACTTCACCAAACTTTCCTAATTAAATTGTTATCAAAATGCCATCAAGGAAAAAAAAACAGCTTTAAGTAATAAATTAACATTTTAATTAGCCTATCAACAGATATGTTCATAATACTTCTAAAATGCTTGCAATCCACTGGCTTTGTAGCTTAAGCATTTTATAAGAAACTCTTTTCACATTATCATTTCTTACTTGACTATCACAAGAGAGGAAAGAACACGTTGGCTTCAGTCTGTGCTATAATCTCAAATTCTGAAGCAGTCGAATGGTAATTACTATCTTTCATTTTATCCAGAACAACACGGACTGAAAGGTGTACCATTGTTTTATATACCAAAACAAGAGCAAAAATAAACACCCCAAATGATCTCCTTATAAAATTATAATGACAACTTTTTAGTATAACGGTAAATGAAAAACAAAACAACTTATCGGAAATAGATGCCAAGGAAATGTCTCAATCTTGACACTGGACGAAAGAAGGGGACAAAGAAAACTCTCCCTGAGAATCTGGCCCAGAGTCCTTGCTTTGGTTAGTGTTTTTATTCATGCAAACAGTGTGATCAAAGACTATAGGTTAAATGTGTAACCAGGTGACTAAAAGAGCAAATGACGATTATCTTTAAAAAAAGCTGTTAATTATAAGAAGAGAACCAATTTCAGAAATGTTAAAGTGTGCGTAAACATCAATAACAAAAACACGTATCTTAGAATCAGTGAAATACAATACAAGAAATTCCTGGTTATATAAAATTAATTAAATATTGCTTATATAGGATGAATTTATATTATGTCATACTTTATCAACTGTGCTAACTACTTTAGTTTAGCAATTACAATGTAAAGGAAAAATATACGCAAAAATATAAAGTGATGGGCATACCAATATTCTTGGTATGTCTACTTCTAAGACCACAATTGAAATGTACAAATGAACATGCTCATCCCAAAACCAAGAAATTTGATAAGCATATTTCTTTTTTGTTGTTGTTGTTGTTTTTAGTTGGCATCTCACTCTGTTGCCCAGGCTGGAGTGCAATGGCACGTTCCCGGCCACCACAGCCTCAGCCTGCTGGGCAGCCTTCCAAGTAGCTGCAACTACAGGAGCGCGCTACCACACCCAGCTAAGATCCCACCCCCCCCCACACACACACCTAAGGTTTTGATTTATTGTAGGGATGTGGTCTCACCAAGTTGCTCAGGCTAGTCTCAAATCATGGGCTCTGGAGATCCTCTCACCTTGGCCTCTCAAATAGGTGTGAACCACAGCACCTGGTTGATGAGTATATTTCTAATGCATGTTACTTCCTTTTCTTTCCTTTCAAAGTATGTATACATTTGAAATATATTTTCATTGGCCACAGATAAATTTATTATGATCCACTGATTTTCATAGTTTACCAGGAAAATCCATAGCTCTTAAAAATCAACTTTTGGGCCGGACACGGTGGCTCAAGCCTATAATCCCAGCACTTTGGGAGGCCCAGGTGAGAGGACTGCCTGAGCCAATGGGTTCTAGACCAGCCTGGGCAACTTGGCAAGCCCTCATCTCTACAATAAATTTAAAAAAAAAATTATCTGGGAGTGGTAGCGTGTGCCTGTAATTCCAGCTCCTTGGAAGACTGAGGTGGAAGGATGACCTGATCCCAGCAGGCCAATGCTGGGGTGGCTGTCAGCGTGCCACCACACTCCAGCCTGGGTGATGGAGTGAGACTCCACCTCAAAAAAAAAAAAAAATATCGACTTTTGAAAACAAAATTAGGAGTATGCCTTTAAGACCTATATCTAAATTATAAGGTGCTCTGAGAACTGAACTTGACTCCACAATGCCTCCACGCTGTCGAACACATGGTGTTTATTACGCTCTAAACCAAAAGACCTAGATTCTGTAAACAGGAGCCAGGTGGCAACTACAGGTATAGCTCCACCCGATATTTCTTACATGTTTATTATTGATTTGGTTTCCAAGAAATGTAGACACAGGTGAAGTGTCTTGCTGAAACTGCTATCTATTGTGTGCAGGTAATATTGTAGGTTCTTAGGAAGTCAGAAATGGAAGTTTCAGTCATGAGTGCTAAATTACTAATTGAGTATTGGGGTTTTTTGGTTACAGTCTGTGACGGAAAGATATCTCTAATCAGCAGGCATTTTATCTAACCAAAATTTTAAGAAGTCAAATGAGTCTTTCTAGACCCCGGATGTTTGGTATAGGACAGAGGTGTAAACGGGTACTGTCAAGTATCAGCTGTCTTCTAGGGGCAGTAGGATGACCTGCTGATTCGGTAGGCTCCATGCTAAAGACACATGGATCAACCCCCCACCTGTTTTTTAGAACACGATATACACTGCCTTTCTAAAGTAGAGACTATGGAAACTCTTACCCTTTTCATTCTCGTTTGATGCTCAATGCTGATTTTGTTTTTCATGTCTTAATGTAATGAGTCATAGATTATACAGCACTTGAACATAACTATAACCTTTCAGAGGGGTTTTGAAACTTGCATGGAAACACTCAAAACAGACAATGGTCTCAGAAACTGAAAAACAGCTAAAGGATTTGCTGAGAAAAATCCCAGCCTCCTCTCTTTTTCACAACTGCTTTCAGTGTTGAAAGTGTAAAATGCTGCATCAAATACAATGCCTCTTAAATGATAAATGGATGAAGTAGGTGCTTTGAATAGAAATACTAAATAAAGCTCTTCTGTTGAAACTATGGCCTTGGTACAAAATGGGATTTATTCAAGTCATTCAAACAACTCCATTCCATCTCACAAATAATGAAAAGACCTCATAGAAGCCCAGACACCTTTTCCTTGTCTTCTTACAAAAAAACAAATGTAACCAGAGGGAATCCATTCCCAAGTGGTATTGGATCCATGAGCTTGCTTTTCTAACAATTTGTATTAGGAGGATAAATGAATAGTTAACTGTTAAATACTTTTCCTTCTCGTTATGAAGAGCAAAACCCAGTATGTACCACTTTTCTTCCTCCATCTTGAACAACAGAAAATAATCATATCTTATATTGATATATAAATAAAACACATATCAACACATCTATGAACATTTGGACATAGGCATAAATATACAAATCTGTTCAAGTAAATCAAAAAAAAAAAAAAAAAGCCTGAATTTTTGTTGGCGTTTTCAAAACACAAATATTCAACTCTCACTATTGATTTCACTGAAAACGTTTTCTTACATAACCATACCCTCATTTTATACCTCATATACAGTTACAGATCAATTCTTTGTGGATAAGTCTTTCACTGAGTTCCTTTCAGGTTCAAGTTTGGTTAAAGACAGAAGACTGATTGTAGTGCAGAACTGAGGTTAATTTTGAAGTCCTATACTCTTGCTTAAGTCATTTCATCTTGAACACATTAACACAGGGCTACCCCATTTGTCCCTTTGAAGTCATTTGGTTTTCCACAGAACCTGATGCTATCATGGCCCCAAATGGCTGCCTTGCCACCCTTCTGAAGGATGTGTATTGCCAAATTTCTGAGCCAAAGTTGTCAGTCAGGACTCACCTCTCCTTCCCTGGGCCAAGGCCTTCCATTCTGGGTATATTTGCTTTGATTCTGTCGCTTCTTTTGTCCTCCATCAGCGAATTTGCACAGTAAAGGCTCACTGGGTGCTGGGAAGATAAGAAACCAATTTGACATTAGTAAATCCCCCTTTAAAATAAGTGATTATGGAATCACAGTGGTGCTTTGTAATGAATGTCTTTTGAAGTAACATCTTGCTTTTGGAGAGATATTTGGCTCCCCTTTAGTCCCAATTCTGTTGGCCGCTGTTCTAACTAACAGGGCTTCAAAAAAGTACTGGCAGATCATAAAAGACTGTAACAAATATTGTTGAAAAAATAATCAGTTGAAGCCGAATGTGAACTTTTTGCCTTAAAAGTAAAGAAGGAAGTACCGACCCTTCCAGTAATATTAGAAACATATTCACAATTGGTATTTACGTGTGGATAAATATTTCTTTCTCAATGCAACTGTGTGTTCACTGTAGAAACTCTAGAATTCAATTTTGAAAAGAGATGCTTAGGAGCAGCTTTCAAAAAAGAGAGAGATTTTGCTAATTGCAACCAAATTAGTGTTGTTTTTTTATTATTCCTCTGCAATTTCAAAAAGGTTAACAGTTGATCCGACCCTTTTCATTCCAATTTCCCAGTAAAATCTAGTCAGAATCCTAGGGAGAACAACGATTTGAATGTTAAGTGAACCCACATTATGAAATATAGCCAAAGGATATGGCTTTAACTCATGAATCACAGACTGATTGTGTTAATCTTGCATAACTTACGTAAACTTACTTCCTGGGAGAAAGTGACCAAAACTATGTCAGCATGCCTCTGCCAACAATGACTTTGCAAAATGACAATCTTTTAAAACCCAACAGGGAAAGATTGCTCTGTGAGAACCGATGTTCCCTTCACATCCCCATTTGACTGGCAATTTGCTGCTTGTTATTACTACAAACATATCTTAAAATGAATGAGTAAAACGAAAGCCACGTTGGCCTGACAAAGTTGGTCAATGCATTCATATGGCTGGGAGGATTAATTTGCTAGTTGATTTGCTTAAATTAACTAAATATTAATTTGTCAGTTTATAGTCTGAAAACCAAGATGACCACCTTGTCCCCCATTACCTGGGAAAATGTGTTTTGCCAAAGATTAATTGTACTAAAGGCCCTAATTCTTTACCCCTTCCTGTATCCTTGTCCTTTGCTATGTAATTTTAAGGAGTCGCCTTATTCTGACTCTTGGTCTGACCCGTGTGAATTGCATTGGCCAATAGGATGTTAGCAAATGAGAGACAAGCAGAAGCTTGAAATGGAGTCAAGTGTTGGGGCTTGCTTCTTTTGTTCCTCTGCATGACTATGAAAACATGCCCAAGTTAACCTGCTGGAAGATAAGATGGAAATGGAGATGGGTCAACTCTTAACATCCTAGCTGAGGCAAAACGAGATCATCCAACGACCAGCCACCATCTAGACATGGGTGTGAGCACATCTAAAGATAGCAGTGGTGCAGAGCTAACCTGCAGTTGACCATAGAAATAAGCCCAGGTGATATCAATCAAGCCTACAAATAGATGAGCTAAAGAAATCTTAACTGATTCATACCACTAAGATTTTATAATTGACATGTGGCATTACTGTCCTATACTGCATGGTTGTCTTAATAGGTAACAGACAGTTTCCGCAACATCCATTCTTTCCCATTCCCACCCTTAACTACATTGCCTGCATTTACGCATCTGGATAAAGCTAAACATTATCATTAAATTCCTGAGATTTGTCTAATTGTATCCAAAATCAATAGTGGAAAAAGAATACAGACAAAGAGGTGTCTACAAATAAATATTTGAAAAACATTAGCTGTAAGGTGCAACCATATTTGATTCATCCTTTTGCCTTATTCCTTATTAACAGCTGCTCTGTTCATCAGTACTGGAGGAAATGGCTCAAAGAGAGAGGGGTCACCATCGACCAAGAGAAATAAAAAACAAAATGTCATTCCTGCCCTATACACAGCACAAAGCTCTGTATAGAGAGACCACTCAATAAATATCATTGCCTCAGTGAACAAAAGTGTTTTTCACACTGACTGCTCTGACGAGCCTCTGACTTTGGTGACTTTGGTAAAGCCACAAAAATCACACAAAAGAAAAACTGCATCATATACTGTCTGAAGACATTTGCTGCTTTTACATTAAAAGTCGTGTAAATTCTTACTCCAGATGAAAAACCTAATGGCTAAATGCCATCACTGCGTCCCAACTTTCTATAAGAAAACTTCCTGTGAGATTTCAGCACCCCTATGTAAAGTCATTTCCCTCCACAGAGGGTTTTCTCTCTTGCCATTTTAAAATTCAAGGTACACACATCCATTAAAATGCAAACACGTGAGTTCATCTCTGGCAGTAATACACATTTCTCACAAAAGGTAAACAAATCTAGAAGCACCTTACATTTCCTGCTGGAATGAAATTGGTTCCAATTTCTTGTGAGGAGAAGCATCAGCCTTGTGTGCCTCTGTTAAGTAAAAGATTTTCCTATCAACTGAATTCACATCCACATCCACAAAAACACACACGAAAACTTTTGTTTTGTTTTGTTTTTAATAGCGTGATTGAGCCAATCAACATCCAGGAAACTGCACATAAGTGATGACATATGCATATACCCCTGTGACCATCACCACTGTCAAGATAATAAGTATGTCCATGACCCCTAAAAGTCACAAGCTTCTTTTTACTCAAATGCGGTATTTTTAACCAGGAAATATTATTCACATATAGAACTTGTTTTAGTATTCGCTGCAAAAATCGACTAACCTTTATGAAGCACTTCCATTTTACATAGATCATTGCACTTAATCTTTACTACAACTCTATGCGGCAATTAATACTTTTTCTCAATTTTACAAGTGAAGGAACTGAGATTCAGAATGGTTAAGTGGTTTGCCCCACACCACAGACCTGGCACTTGAACCCAGGTAAGCAGTCAAACCCATTAAGTGCAATTGTGCTCGTCCTCAATTAGAAGTCAGGCTTTATCTACTAACTATCATTCTTGAGGAATAAAACTTGTCATATCTGTATGCATTGTGTCCAAATAAACTGGAATTGAACAGTTTACATGAGAACTTTCATTTGTGTCCCAAATTTTTATATATATATATATACATATATATATATATATTTTTTTTTTTTTTTTTTTTTTTTTTTTTTTTGACCTGCTGGGCTCCGGCGATCCTTCCGCCTCAGCCTTCCAAGTAGCCGGAATTACAGGCATGTGCTACCACGCCCAGCTGATTTTTTGATTTATTGTAGAGATGAGGTCTCGCTGCCCAGGCGGGTCTCGAACCTGCGGGCTCAGGCAATCCACTCACCTCAGCCTCCCAAAGGCGCGGGATTACAGGATGAGCCACCGAGCTCGGCTCCAAATCTATACTTTTAAGTCCTGTAGTCCAGGCCTGAAGGTTGTCAGTAACCCACTATGTCATGAAAACGAATTTGCTTATCCTCTCGGATGCCTGATTCATAGATGAGGACCATGTTGCCACTCCTTTCCTTAGTTCCCAGTGCCAGTTTTTTCTCAATATCATAAAGTTTCTGTAATTAAACTTAAGTAATTTCTGTAGTTAGAAACGGACCAACTTGCTTATTTTTTTCTAAATTAAAAAAATAATAATTTCCAGAATTTTCATTCTGTCTTATGGCTGCCACAACACATTGACCATTGACCACAAAAATTTCTGGGTGCTTTTTACAGATGATAAATGGTAAAGATTATTTAAAGTCTACCCTTTATATTTCTTTGGGCAATGACTTTTATGAGCCATACTTTTTACTCTCCAAAGAAGGTTCTCTTTATTGTTACCTAATACTGATTATTTTAAGGTACATAAGATAGTCTCTGGTCCTCTAATCGTCTAAAATATATGGTTTCTCTTTAGCGAGTCCTTAGAATGCACTTAATTGTTAGAGGTACCAGTCTGCTTTCTGGGTTTGAAGTCTGGCACCTTGACTTGCTAGCTACAAGATGCACTTTTTGTTTGATTGTTTGTTTTTAACATTCCTGTGATTCATTTTTCTCATGTACAAGGATAATAAGGTTAAATATCTCATAGAGCTGTTGTGAGAATCACACAAACTAATGCCTATAAAGGACTTAGAAGAGTGTATTGTACATAAACACTGAATCCATTTTAACCGCAACAATCCTTATTGCTCAGCATCAGACAGCCACTTACAGTTATTGGCTGTGAAACCTGATCACCTGTCAGTGTCAGAGTTCGGAGTGCTTAATCAACTGAGCTTTATCTTATTCAACCCTGTTGCATTTTAACTCCATGAAGCTTTCATCAACAGTACTTGTAAATATACTCCAAGGGCAATGACAAGAAAATGTGTTCACGGAAAGGATGTGTGTCTCTAAAATGGTTCTTGTTTGACTATAGCTTGTCACTGAGGACATTTGGCCACTACAGCACCAGGCCCTTCTCTAAGATATCGCCAGAATTTGACTTTCATTATCTCCTGAGTTTGATGTACATCGTGCTACTATGGTCTGGCTTAACTTGCAATTGCCTATAATAATCCCCGTGTTTTTAAAATTGTTTTTGTTTTTAATTATTAGTACTATTATTATTATTTTGCCACTCAATTGCAAGAGTTCTATTGGCAGTTTAAATCTATCAAGACTGTATTTTACAATGAGGAAAATTATCAGGCTACCTACATAGCAATAGATTTCACTGGGGCTTCGCTTCTCCAGATTCCATATTAAAATGTTAAGTAGGAATATATCCTGAAGAACTCAAATCACTCTATAAAAAAGATACCTGCACACGTATGTTTATCGCAGCATTGTTCACAATAGCAAGAACCTGGAATCAACCATAGTCCATCAAAAGAAGACTGGATTGAAAAAATGTGGTACATATACACGATGGAATACTATGCAGCCATAAAAAAGAACAAAATCATGAACTTAGCAGCAACCTGGATGGAACTAGAGTCAATAATACTGAGTGACCTCTCACAGAAACAAAGATCTGAGTATCACATGTTTTCACTCATATAGCGGACCTTGAACATCCATGTAATACTATAAGAAAAG